ATCAATAAATTGGTTCTTGGATTTTCCTTCTAAATTTTTTTTTGTGGATTATTTGCAAAAAAAATAGGATTTAAGTTCTGAATTAACTCAAAAATGCTCATGTGTTGCCCCACCAGTAGAGGAAAGTCGGACTCCAAGTCTTTCTAGTTGTAACAGTTTTTCCATGTAATAATGTAGTGCTTTTATTAAAAGTTCAGAATTCATACTTTGTTTTAATTATGAACCAGCCAAGTATATTGACGTCTTGGCTCGTAGCATTTGGGGCTATCAAAGGATGCCTAAGCCTGTTTTTATTCTTTTTTCGCCGTTGATTTTCCTGAAAGCATCCAAAAATAAAGCAAATTTAACAAATCAAATTGATGTGGCCTAACCCTTATTGCAAATATGGTATTTACCAAAAAGGTACCTGTCATCTGGCTTTTACCTGGACGATACATAAAGATCAACATGTTATGCAAATTGTGCTTTTGCAAGTAGATAAATAAAAGTAAAATATCTGAATAATTTGCAAAGAAACAGACAAAAAGCTTCTGACCGAATGTTCAGTTTGCACTTCAATGTGTTTACTAGGTTCTGTGTTCCTCAAATGTCGATGATTTGTTACTGAAAAGACGGAATCACTGAAGGGAAACCTAAAGACATGCAGGCATGGTACGGTAGCTACTAGGTTTACTGAACACTACATAACTGTCATGTAGGTAAACTGAATGCTCCTTTAAAGCAAGATTTTGTAATGGGTGATGTTTGTTTTTTTGCATTTGGTTAATAGGATAACTGACCATTTCTGTGGATACTAGGAATTCTCTGAATTCCATGGATGGTCAGCCAATCTGAATTCCAGTGTAATTTTACATGTCACATTTTGAGAATTGGCAATAGCTTGATGTTTTAATGGCAAGATGTTTTAATATGTATGTGACTGTGTCCAGTAACTTTGATGACTGTTAGGTTTCATGAATCGAATTACACAATATTGTGCTATGAGAAGGTGATAAGGAATGGTAAGCTGTACGAAAGGATTTCAAACTTCTTTTTTTTCATATAAATGATGCTGCTGATATTGAAGCATCAATGATGTGCAATAACTCCTCAGTGCAATAGATCAGATGCCACTGTAGATAGTGGATTTATAAGGCCATAAATAAGTGCCATAGAATTAAAATGTTGTGCCTTGGGTGAATATGTGGCAAAATCACTGATCCTTTATGAGGAAATATACATAATATTTATAGTAATAAATACAAAATATATGTATTTTACATGTTGTTGAATTAAATGGCAGTACAGATTTATGTACTAAAGTACTATTGCAATACTACTAGCACAGAGCCTGTAAACATAAGATTTTGAAATAAAAGGCAATCGAGGAAACCA